TCTCTCTCTCTCTCTCTACGATCTAATACATGTCATACATAGGATGAACAGATGTGAGGAACACAATAACGAGCGAATAGTATTCATTCAAAGAACTGCTGAAGAATTAACTGAGACAATAGCCTCACACAGACTTGACATCGATGGTCTACTGACACGGATTATTACCATGTCAACCACCATGGTCAATAATCTAATTGTGATTGATGAATACGCTGCTAATAGTGATGAGTTTGTAAATCCCAAGAATTTACATCTATATAATTATGCTCAAACGAGAATAAACGAACTCGTTGAAAACTTATAAAAATTATATTATTTGCATGAATTTATAATCTTGATTAATTATTGTGCTTAAAATGTATTAAATAATCAATAACTATTATAATAAAAAAAAGCAAAAATGTGTTACAACTTGAAAAATATAAAATTATTTTAATAAAGCCGGAACAATTTCCGGTGCAATAAAGCTCATAAAATAAATAAATGTATTAGACAAATAAAAAATATTAGTAACATTTTCTACAATGATGAGACAATGAATAATAATCTTTGTTAATATACCTCAATATAAAATTGCAAAAATTAATACAAACACAAAACACTGATAAATATAGATATTTATAACATAAGTGTTACTACATGTATATAATAATTTTTATGTGTTGTATTTTAAATAGAGTTTTAATTAGTTTGTAGTTTTTATAATTTTAATTATGTTTAAATAAATCATAAGTAATTAATAACCAATTGACTAGAAACAAATCACACACAGCGATGCTATACGTTAATGAAATATTATTTTTTCAATAATTTTGCCTAGTTAACATTGATCTAATATTTTTTAAAAATAATTAAAATTTTAATTTACTAACAATTTTGTTATACTCACTAATTTTTATAAAAATTAATTAAACAAAATTAAACATGTTGATATTATTTTCTAAATGATTCATGTCTTAACGAAGATAATTATAACGGAAATAATAAATTTATAACTAATACTTATACAACCATATTTAGGTATAATTACATAACTTGCTTACAAGTTAGTATTGAAATTACTAATTACTTAATTTGTATTGTACCTGTACAAAATACAGTATATGTGTAACAATGATATCACAAATTGATAATAGTCTGGCATTCATTCATAATACACTTACCGGTACTGAAAATGTGCTGTTATTATAAATAGTGGCTTTAAGTTATTGTTATTAAAAATACACGAAACAGACAGTATTGTGTCGGACAATGAGTTCCACTGGTAAGACCGATGGCAACGCTACTCAAGAGTTGCACTCTGAAGAAATAGACCCACAATTATTTGCGCAAATAATTGGTGGAAAAGAAATTGGCCATGGTAGATTTGGTAAAGTGTTTAGTGTTAATATGGATGAAAATGGTAAAACTATTACATACGCCATCAAAATAATTACAAAGGTACTAGATAATTTGTTATATACGTTTGTTATCATTTTTGATTTGAATTGGTTATTATAATTAATGTCTTTTTTAGACCGTTGAGAAAGAAAGTGACAAGGATGCTAAAGGTATGTTAAATTATATAAAGTTTACATCACAAAACTAAATGTACAATATAAAATGTTAATTACTTATTAAATGATGTAATTAGAAAGGAAAGTCATATTTGAAAAAGAGTATCGGAGCTTAGGATTTATGCGCAAACTGGCCCATCAGCACGTGGTGCCCATCTTTAAAACATGGCATACAAATGACAAAAATGCTGTTGGCATCCAGATGCAATTTTGCGCCTGTGATCTACGGGAGTTAATAAATACAAAAAACAGCATGTTCGGGCGGCCAACTAACAGCCATCAGAAAAACGACTACCCCTACTCGGAGCCAAATGACCTGGAGTATTATATTGGCGTACGTTGGCTGCATGAAATTACCCTGGGGCTACAGTATTTACATTCAGAGTCTGTATCTGTGATTCACCGTGATGTAAAACCCGAGAATATTGTGATGGGCACAATTGTTGGCAACAATGGCCAACAACGGTGGGTATTGAAGCTAACTGATTTTGGTTTGGCCAAATTGCACCATGCCTCACAGAGCAATACGAGAGATGTGGGCACAGTTCACTATATGGCGCCTGATATATCCATGACCAGGTACACTACCAAGGCCGATTTGTACAGCGTGGGAGTAGTCTTATCTGAATTATTTAATTATCGCCCGTAAGTTGTAACACATTTTTGCTTTTTTTTATTATAATAGTTATTGATTATTTAATACATTTTAAGCACAATAATTAATCAAGATTATAAATTCATGCAA